TAAAGATCAAGTTTTTAACCGGTAGGGGACTATTATATTGCCATGCAATACTCACAGAATGCTTGTTATTTCTGTTGTTTGAAAGCTGTATGAGAAAATATTTTTTGTAATGTTTTGATAGATTCTCTTTTTAGCTCATCTGGCCCAAAGGGCCAAGTGAGCTTTTCTCATCACTTGGCGTCCGTCGTCCGTAGCGTCGTCGTCCGTCGTCGTCTGTTAACTTTTACAAAGATCTTCCCCTCTATAACTACTAGGCCAAATTCAAACAAACTTGGCCACAATCATTATTGGGATATCTAGTTTAAAAAATGTGTTCGATGACCCAGCTCGTCTACCAAGATGGCCGCCATGTCTAAAAAAAAGAACATAGGGTAAAATGTAGATTTTGGCTTCTATCTCAAAAATCAAAGCATTTAGAGCAAATATGACAAGTGTAAAATTGTTCATCAGGTCAAGATCTATTTGTCCTGAAATTTTAGACGTATCAGACAACCCGTTGTTGGGTTGCTGCCCCTGATATAGTTATTTTAAGGAAATTTTGCAGTTTTTGGTTGATATCTTGAAAACTATTATAGATAAAGATAAACTTTAAACAGCAATAATGTTCAGCAAAGTAATATCTACATATAAGTCAAATGACCAAAATGATCAATTGACCCCTTAAGGAGTTATTGCCCGTTAAAGTTAGTTTTTAATAAATTTTCGCAAATTTTTGTAATCTTACAAAAATCTTCTCCTCTGAAACTACTGAGACAAATACAATCAAACTTAGTTACAATCATCATTAGGGTATGTAGTTTAAAAAATGTGTCCGATGATCCCGCCTGCCAACCAACATGGCCGACATGGCCAAAAAGAGAACAGAGGGGTAAAATGCAGTTTCTGGCTTATATCTCTGAAACTAAAGCATTTAGAGCAAATTGGACAATGGGTAAATATGTTAATCAGGTTGAGATCTATCTGTTCTGAAATTGTTAGATGAAACAAACTGTTGTTTGGTTGCTGCCCCTGAATTGGTAATTTTACTGAAATTTTGCAGTTTTTGGTTATTATCTTGAATATTATTATAGATAGAAATAAACTGTAAACAGCAATAATGTTTAGCAAAGTAATATCTACAAATAGGTCAAAATGACCAAAATGGTCAATTGACCCTATAAGGAATTATTGCCCTTTAAAGTAAATTTTTAACAATTTTTCATAAATTTTTGGTAATCTTTTACAAAAGTCTTCTGAAACTAAAGCAAAAGTATAACAGTTGCATAATTCCATGTATCAATTGTTAATAAAGATATCAAATGAGCAACACAGGCTCCTTGGAGCCTCTAGTTTTGTTTTGTTACATTACTGATTTTTGATTCAATTTAATTATTATGACAAAATGAATACTTTAATTAACAGATTAATTAAAGGGGTACTAGCTACGAGATTTCATAAAAAATCTAAAGTATGATTTTTTGTTCAATCATTAATGAAAGAGAAATAGTAAAATAATTATTCGCTTTTTGCAGCCAGTATAGTTCAATTTTGTCATGAAATTGCCTCCGTTGAAAGTTTGCAAACATCCCATAGAGCAAATAACATGGATGATTAATATTGACCATTTGGTATATGACCGTGTTCTAAGCGACACGTACATTCAGGTCATAAATTAATTTGTTGAATGAAATCAAATCTTCAGCTACTAATTGGTGCCGTAGGAGGTCCACCGGAATTTTTAGCGAGGATTACCTGGCATGGGAGAAAGGAAGAAAGACCATTCACAAGTTGACTTACATTTTTTTTCTCTGTTCTAATTAGATTGAAAAAAAAATAAACCTTTCAAATGTAGAGTTCATCAGATAAAAAGTTTCCCTGAGGAACACCCCCCTTTTTTTGTGCTCTCAATTTTCAACCCTCGAATTAAGCTTTTCGGGCTAATTAGAATTAAAACCTTGCTTTCTAACCGATCTATTCATGTGTCGGACCGGCAACTTTCTTTTTTAATAAGAAAGTCTACAGTGCCGTTATACACATGCATGTTGTCTGCTTGGAGTCCCCGCCCGGAATGTAAAAAATAGCCGAACTCCAAGAATACTCCTGCATCACGTGATTTTTGCCACGTTGAGCTTACATACGAATAAATGCCGAATATGGAAAGTGAAACTACAATTCAAAACACAGAGTCTAAAGGCGGGCGCATAGAAGAAAAAGAAGGGTTTTTTTTGGCAAAGGGTGCCGGGGCAATCTTCTCTGTGTTCAAAATATATATGAAATATTTGCCACTACCCCTTGTCTGTTCTATAAATTCTAACCCTGAGTTTTCGATCTGTTACTTGAAAGATTTTAATAAATGGGTAATGTGTCCATGGGACATAGATGATGCCCCCGCTTGCATATCATATAAATTTATTAAATGACAAAACTGAGGAACAGTAAAAGTGATACTTCCTAAATTTGTACTTAATCCGAGTTTTGTGGTAATATGAATTGTGTAAAAGTTACATAACATTTGGTTTAGGTAACTTAAACTCAAGTTAAAGAATGAAAACAAAAAAAATCACATTTTTTCATTTGTAAAGGGGCATAGCTCTAAAATAGGTAGAATGACGTCACTAAAATTCAAACTTGATCGAGGTTTTGTTGTATTTAGCATTGTGTATAAGTTTCATAACATTTGTTTGAGGCAAAATAAAGTAAGAGAACGGAAACGAAAAAATCAGCAATTCTTCCAATTGCAAAGGGGCAAAACTCTAGAACGGTTAAAGTGACGCCACCATAATTCATACTTGATCTGTGTTTTGTGGTAATTAGCATTGTGTTTAAGTTTCATAACATTTGGTTGAGGCAAACTTAAGTTAGAGAATGGAAACCAACTTCGGGACGTACGGACGGACGTACAGACGGACAAGGGTAAAAAAAACCAAACTTAATGCCCCCCTCCGCTATGGCGGGGGCATAAAATAAAGCTAATTTAACCTACACTTATTTTATGCATCAATAATAAATTGATAAAGATAAGTTAAAATTTGTATCCACGTAATACAATATTTATTTTATTATGTTTTGCGAATTCAGTATTATGCCGAAATGAGTTTTCTTCCTACATTTATAGATTGCCTTTACCATATTTGGCACAATAGTTTGAAATTTTCATTTTTTAATGCTCTTAAAATTCGAATTTGTTTTGGTCTTAGAACTGTTTTGATTTTAGTGTCACAAATGAGTCTTCCGGAGCACCTACGATCACCCCCAGTTTTTGGTGTGGTTCGTGTTGCTTAGTCTTTAGTTTTCTATCTTGTGTTTTGTGTACTATTATTTGTCTGCTGGTCTTTTTCTTTTTTAGCCAAATTAATTTCCACAACAGAACAAAAGTTGCAAAAATTAACAACCTAACGCGAAATTTTACGTATAACATTGGAGAAGAAACGGGACATTCTTAAGCAACTTGACAGTAACATTTTAGAGGTGACTACTGTGAAAAATATGAAAGTTGTGATAGAAGACGAAAATCGGTAGGTTTTAGATTATTAAAAGTACATAATACACCCATATTTTAATATCAACTACTAAACAAGCAATTGTTCTGAGATGCGTATCAATGATAAATACATGTCAAACAAACATGAACAAACATACAAAAGTTTGCGTATTTTCAAAATCAAATTCAAGACCTAGCCGCACAATGTATAGCCGGATTACCACCTGCAAATACTATCAAGACGTAGTAATACTAAGAGAGAGGTTTGACACGAAGTACAAAACACAAGCGCATAGATTCAAAATGTAATTTATTTACCTGGGCTGAGGTCAAACACACACAGCTCGAACAACTTTTCAGACAGACTAGAGTGTGGCATGATAGGTTTACAATCGACAAAGGATAGTTCATTTGGAACCATTCGTTCGCCCATAATATACAAAACATTGCCGATGTTAAATAGAACATACACAAAGACCAGTGGAGCTAAGAGTCGGATACCGAATCACTGAGGGTAGTACTGATGAGGAAAGTATAAGTACAGGAGGAAGGACAAACTATAGTGTCGGAGTCGTCGTTTCCATGGTTTTGGGGTGTGTTTTATCTTACATCAAACATTTTATCGATCGCTTTGATTGCAATTCTACGAAACGTAAAACAATCGATCATAAAGAAAAAAAAAAACCAACCATAGACAGATATGATAGTTTATAATATAAGTGATTGCTTACCGTCCAGTGACAAATAGTTCTGGTGTTATTAGGTGGCGAACAAATTATAAACTTAGGTTTTACAAATTTGAGCCTTTATTTATTCTTTTGTAAACATTTTTTTTGTGATTAACATTCACTGCGTGAAATAAATAGTATGTATCTTTTGAAATATCATTTGTAATATTTATTACCATCTCTGAAATCTTAAGCGGTCTCCATTGTAGATTTTATTCTATTTTATCTTATTCTGGGTACCTTTTTTAATCCCCGGGCGCTGAACCCAAAAAGCTCTGTATCCATTGGATGGCGGTTTTAGATTTCTTAGTCTTCGAACTCTATAAAAAAACAAATGTTTTTATTCCAGTCCCTCATGTTTCCGTAGACATTATTGACGACATATAAGCGCTTCATGTTTTGTTCACGATTTGCCGAGTTCAAAATAGGATACATTTGAGCGGAGTAAATAAGCGGAGACGTTTGGAGTAGGAAGGTAAGAAATCTTTTTGGCCTCAAAAAATAGCATTTAAAAAATTTGTTAAAAATATAAATTGTAAGTTATCAATTGGAAAGAAGAAAAGTTTTGTTACATACAAATGGACTGTGATTTGGACAATACAATGCACATGCATCAGGTACTAGCATCATTAATCAACTGGCGGACATTTTAAGGGGATTGACACATTTAAGAATGTTACATATATATGATCAAATATGCACATACTGTATTTAAATTCACTTATCATAATAACTAATGGATGCAGACTACTGAATCCATGTATTATTTCATTTGTTGTAATATTGACTATGAATCAATTGAATCAAACGGATCATGTGAGATTTTGTTTAATCTATTTTGCATGTTTGAAAATTATCATTGATATAAGTCCATTCATTCTTGGCGCCATGATTTTCGTTGTGTATTTAGTTATACAATAAGGTACAACAAGAGTTTATAAAATGCAAGTCCTAACCCCAAGGTAACCAAGTTGATCACAAGACTTCCAGCACCTGGAAAAAAATAATTTTAAAACAAGAATGTTTTGAATTATAAAACAGCCTTAAATAGAATGTATTTGACTTGTTTAATGTTAATTCGTAATGCATCCTACAAACAAATATAGAAATTTAAAAAAAAACTCATTGTAAAGACAAGTGAAGAAATATCAATAACAATGACCAACATGAATAATTAAAAACGGTTTTCATGTATACAATTCTTTAAAAAACGTAAGAATATGAAACCAGTTTGATGCAAGGAGTAAAAATAATAATTTTGGCACAAAGTTATAAATTATTTTACACAAACAGTTTGTTTTCACTTGATGAGTCAAAATCGTTAAATGTCAATGCAACCCGATAAGCTGAAACTATTATTCTCGTACAAATTCACTATTTTCGTAAAAATTCATTATTTTCGACCTGAAATTTTTTAACCCTAACTCATCACTTTGTAGATGGTCCAAATGTATTGTGTATCGACAGCGACAGCAAACCAATCGAATATTCTCTAGAAGGTCATTCCAATAGCAGGGCAAATAGCCGAGTTGTACTACTGAGGTACTGACTACTAGAAATATTATAGCCTCAGGTACTGACATTCCACCAGTTGGAGACTACGAGAAAGATGATAACCTTAGTTTCTGACATCCATCAGTATGGGAAGCGACCAAGTTGTACTATTTAAGAACTAACCACGAAAAAGATGATAACATTAGGTACTGACATTCCACCAGTTTAGGGGGGTCGATAAAGTTGTACTACTGAAGAACTGACAACAAAATAGATGATAACCTTAATAAGTTTCTGACATTCAACCTGTAGGGGAAGCGACCCACTTGTACTACTGAAGTACTGACCACGAACAAGATGATAACCTTAGGTCATGACATCCATCAATAGGGAAGGCGATCCAGTTGATCCACTGAAGTACTGACTACGAGAAAGATGATAACCTTAGGTACTGACATTCCACCAGTAGAAGAATTGACCCAGTTGTAACACTGAAGTACTCACTGCTAGAAAGATGATAACCTTTGATACTGATTTTCCATGAGTAGGGGTAGCGACCCAGTTGTACCACTGAAGTACTAACTTCGGAAAAAATGATAATCTTAGGGACTGATATTCCACGGGTATGGGAAGCGACCCAGTTGTACCACTGAAGTACTGACTACAAGAAAGATGACATCTGAGACTGACATTCCACCAGCAGGAAAAGTGACCAAGTTTTTACTACTGAAGTACTGACTACTAGAAATATGACAACCTTAAGTAATGACATTCCACCAGCAGGAGAAGCGACCCAGTTGTACTACTGAAGTACTGACTACTAGAAAGGTGTCAATCTTAGGTACTGACATTCCAACAGTAGGGGAAGCAACCTAGTCGTACTGCTGAAGTACTGACTACTAGAAAGCTGACAACCTTAGGTACTGACAGTCCACCAGTAGGGGAAGCGACCCAGTTATACTATTGAAGTACTGACTAATAGAAAGATAATCTTACAATTTAAACCAACGTAATCAGACGGAGATCTTTCTGTCAATGACATGTTTAAATGACAATTAGTACACATTTCCTAACTGTATGTTGTCATGCCCGACAAAAGCTCTGTAAAACACATACTCCAAAAATGCATTTTGAGTTTCGGCATCTTGATAATAATCCGACACATTAACGAGACAAAGAACAAAAAATACATAAAATGAAAAGATATTAATTAAAACGAATTTTAGGACCTTGGTTCAGTTGGTTGATTTTAAAACAAGAGGCACTGAAAAGAGACACCCTACAACTAAGCTGTACTTGTGCTAACAGACGTTGAAAATAGTTCTTAAATAGTTGAACGATTCTAGTAATTAGTCTGAGACTAATTCATCAGCAATTTTATTTTCTTAATGACTTTTATTTTTTTTATAAAAGAATCAATGACGGAGCGACAAATTTCTTACAGAAGGTATCAACATGGGACTCATCAAATTAGTACGCCGGAAGATGAAAGCTACGCAGATTGTAAAGTGGTAACGTTTTGTCGGCAATAATGTATTTAGTAGAATGAATTGATATAAAAGCAATTTCTTTTGTAAAGAATGTTATTCTAATTACGACGAGAAACATGGCAATACCGGGAAAATTCGTTTAAACGTTTTGAGAATTTTTCTGTGTTGCTATGGATCATTTTGTATCAGGCGTATCATTTAGTAGACCAGACGTCAACATGAGACACATTAGTGAAACACATTAATAGTTATATTGTTATGTATACCAGATATGATTAAGATTAAAATAATTACCACTATCACTAACACAGCCGAACTGGGATAGGACCTGTTTTGCTTTGATTAAGGTCTGACCTACATCCAAACTGCAGTCAGTTACAACTTTAGTAACACATTCCAGATAGATATTCCCTGCACTGTTTTTAAAATAAACAAAACAGTGCAATAGCATATGAACAAATTTTGATTAGAAAAATAAATATTAATGTTTTAAACATGTACCGCTGTTTTAATAATTTGTGAATGATATACATCTACAGTAGCGTCGAAGTTCTAATTCTTTAACTAAATTATTTTGTGATAGCTACTTTCATTTATTGAAGATGTAACTGTTTTTCTTTATTCGTCATTTTCATTTCATAGCATGTTATATGTAAATGAAAACGACAATTTTCAATGTAGCGATGTTTAAGTGTGTAAATAATATACAAAGTACTATATAAAACAACATCTGACCTGCATATTTTCTCCTTGTCTAACGCTGCCTGTGTTATTAAGCTCCCTAAGGATGAGACGCAAGATTGCATTTTTGGAGCAGAACAACTCTGTGCTTCCGCTTCTAAATAACGTATAAACAAAAATATTTTGATAGTTTAAAGGACGAAACACAAAACTGCTTAGAACTGCATGCCTAATTATTTGCTCTTTTTATAGAACGACTAAATGTAATCGTGTGTGTCACTGACTATTGAAACCACTGATTTCATGCATATGCAGTATATGTGAGGCCTCTAAATGGGAATGCATACAAATTTGATATACACATTTGTATTTATTCATAAAAAAATTACAGGAATATTTTCCGCTTTAGAGAAAACTTTAATCTTTTGTCATAATTTCTCCGTAGCCAATCGGTTCAAATATCCCAAAGTGAAATTGTCTCATAATATTATTAACATCTTATTTATACTTAAAATATTTGAAAATTCAAGAATTATCATATGTAATCGGTAGGACAATTATCCTTTTTAAATGCCATAATTGAAATCAATTGCTGGTAGTGTCAGATGTAAAAACAACCAAACGACGCAGGAAAACGAGTTGAAAATTAGCTGAGATGAATAATCTGGTGAAAAACGCAATCGAAGCTGCTTTATTTTATTTTCAATAATAAAGTACATCAAAATATAATGATTGTTTTAAGAGCATATTTCTAACTGTCGTCTTATATTCGCATTGAGAAAACTTCATTTGATTCATGATGTTTAATGTCATTGTAAAACCAACTTATATATTAGTCTGTTGACGTAAGGAACAAATGTTTACCTCATTTGAATCAGCGAATAAATAGCAAAAACGAAGAATAGTTTTATCCTAAGAAATATATGAATACATTTTCAAAAGAATCTAACGTCATCGGATTTTAACTTGGATTTTCAAGCTTTCGTGCGTGATGTATGCATAACAGAAGGCACCTACCTTATGGATACAAACAGTCTGGCTCCTTTGGAGGTCACCATCATTTTTTTGGTATCTTTATTTGTATCTATTAAATCAATGTACTAGTATGCGATTTGAACATAGGCAAACCCCCGTTGTGTAAATGTTGATTATCGCATTCATCACACAATAAAAACCAAAAATTTAATTGATTGATTTTTTTTTATATCGCATTTTTTATCAGAAATAATTTGTTTGAGATTTTTTCTTACTTAAAAATAAAAATATCAGGGAACTATAAATTCCAGAAGTCGAACATGCACACAAATGTCGTTTTAATCCCGTTTAATCATTTGATGAGTCACAACCGACGATAAGGCATCATGCAATAGATTTTTAACGAAAGGTTCTTGTTTTTGTAAAAATGCAATATTATACACTTCAAAGTAAATGAAAATTAACAATTTAGTAAGCTGTTGATTTGTGCAGGTAAATAACAACTACTGAAAAATCTGAACGTAGACTGAACAGATCGTAATGGACTGCAATCCTATTGTCTAAACAGTATTGAATTAACTGCAGTGGATTGACTAATTGGTTGATTGGGGCTTAACCTAACTCTCGACACTTTTGTGCTATTACTTTGCGGTGAGTTTTTATTGGTACAGGGATCCGGAGTGCCCGTAGAGAACCATCGACCTTCAGTAGGAAAAATGATAGTCCTAGTTAATTAATATTGGAGTCGAGCGCACTTAATGCAGTATTTAAGTCTGAAAGTTAACTGAAAATGACTAAATAATTTAGTATTCTGTCTTTTAAGAGCTGTTATGATCAATATGACCGTTTCAATACTCGAGTAAAATACTGCTTACCTTCAGCCGACAATGAGGATGTCAAATACTCTACAATCAAATCACTTTTTTTGAAAAACAAATGACCAATTTCAATAATTTGTAATTTTGTGTTGCATTAATATTATTTTTCATATCACTATGGCAGACTATAAATCATAGACCGTCCATCTGAGAAATGTCCAATTGCGTGTTTTGGCTAAAATTTTTCCAAACAGAAATTTTTGCTTTTGCCAATTCTAGTTGCAATGACATAGCATGATGCAGATAACGCTTAGAACTGCCAAGCTAGATGTTTATTTCTAGTTCAAATATTATATAAATTGAAATCCAGAAAAATATTTAGATTGACTATGCTGTAGATGCTAGCAATTTGCATGAGTCTAATTTATCAATCTTATTGTTCAAACGACTGTTATAGAAGGATTAAAGACGGAGCGGCGACTGCTTACACAATGTAATGTTTTAAAGTGGGGCTCATCACATTAGTACACAGGAAATCGTAAAGGTACACAGGTTTTTAAGTGGTAACGTTTTGTCAGCAATAATGTAATTGAATCATGTTTCTTATTTGGAAAGAATGAATCGATAGAAAACAATTTGAAATTTCACAGTAACATGGAAATACTGGAAAAAATGGTTTTAATTTTGAATTAAACGTTATAGAGTGCCGGTCTATTTGAGGGTCTTCTTAAAATCAAATTTATGTTCATGGAAACGCTCAGCTGTCAAAACCTTTATATTTGAAATGTTTGTGTTTATTTTCGTTTAATACTATCTAAGAAGAAGTAATATTTAATGAGATATTTCGAATTCCAATTGTCATGATATTGCTTAAGACTGTAAGATACTTCAAAGATCATTGTAACTGAAATAACAGTCTTGTCCAATATCTTTGTAAAATTGAGACTACAAATTTGGAAACAACTCGTCAAAGATACATTTGTATCAGGTGTATAGTTTAGAACATAGTCTACAAGTTTTGTCTCCATACGACATACCTGTAGGAAACAATTTATAATAACGTTTTAATATATAGCAAAGGGGTATTTAAGATTAAATATACTTACCACAACCGTACTGGGATAAAGACTTTTTGGCACTGTCGATGGCCTGACCTGCATCCAAATTGCAGTCAGAAAAATATGTATTTAAACATTCCAGATAGATATTTACTATACTGTTTTTGAAAATAGAAAAAAATTATCAAAATTACCATGGAACTTAATGTGCTCCTGTTCTTGCCGACTTATACCTTTTTGTCATATGAGTCAAACTTCATACAGGAGCTTCTTAGGAAGAACGTAAAAGAAGGTAGTATTATCAATAAACTACACGTTTCCTCTCACTAAGTTTGATTACTGTGTTGAACGCATCTATCACATCGAACTTGAAATAAAAGATACAACAGATACATTGAATTCTGTCCAAATATTTTCTGACATTTAGAAATTGACAATGAATGTCGGTTGAGAACAATACTTTACGACAAAAGAGATGATTTCAGCTTCCAAATTGTGAATTTTCCATATCAATATAGCAATATTCCAGCAGCGCATGTATACGGAGTATGCATCTTTAAGTTGATACGATATTCTAGAGCATACAATTCCGATCATGATTTATCTGATATACGAGTGCTGCTTACAAGGAAACTATTAAACCAAGTGTTCCAAGTAATGAAGCTGAAGTAATCTTTTTTCCCTAATGTGACCTACAGAATTAGACTTATCACCGGGTTTGAACTTACATGAACAACGCCTTATGTGGAGCAGGATCTACTTACCCTCCCGGAGCACATCAGATCACCCCAAGTTTCTGATTGCTAATTCTTTAGTTTTCTATGTTTTGTTTTATATACTGTTTGTTTGTCTTTTTCTTTTTCAGCCATGGCGTTGTCAGTTTATTTTCGACTGAGTTTAAATGTCACTTTGGTATTTATCGCCTCTCTTTCGTAAATTTGACGGACGCCCATCACGAGTTGATTAATCGTTATTGAATATCTGTTTCACATAGAAATATGTTCCAGTTGTCGTAACCACAATCCCGTTTTCTATTAAATTGAGATCTTCATTCCCTACCTCCTCCCCGGTCTTTTTATTGTGTTCGTGTTGCTCAGTCTTTAGCGTTCTGTGTTGTATTTTGTATACTGTTGTTTGTCTTTTTGTCGCCTTTCGTTTTTGCTATGGCTTTGTCAGTGTGTCATCGAACTATGGGTTTGATTATCGCTTTGGTATCTTCTTCCTCTCTTACATAATAATATTGTATACACGTCTAATTGTTGTACATATGACAAGATACGATTTGGGTCCCTTTTCAATAATATATGTCTAGTTGATAAGTTGTTATTTTTTTTCTTCTAAATCTTCTTCCAATAATTTCATTCATTTATTGAATGTGTAAATGTCTGCTTCAAGTACTCATTTCCATTCAATGTCATGTTAAACATTGTTATATAGCCATTTATCTGCGAAAAGGTACAAAAAATAATTTTAAAAAGTTTGCATAATTATTGGTAGCAGACTTTTGACCAATAAAACATCGTTATTTTTCTTCATTCGATTAAGCTGTAAGCTAAACTTACATTCCAGTGCGTACGCCCCCTTTCTTTTTTACAGCTTTTGCTCTTTGACAATTACTTCAAATTTTATATCCATTTGTTTATCTATAGTTTAGGTGTCTTAACTAAATTGCTTTTCTATTATATTCTCTCATGGAGTAGTGGCGAAAAGGCCCTCGCTTACAAAGCAGAAATCAATGCGGTCAATGGGGGCAACAATTCGAATCCAAGGACTTTTGAATTATATGATGTTTAATAACTTAATTTAAATTTCAACTTCAAAACTACAGACATCATTGGTACATGTTCCCTTATGTTTAACTGTTGTATTCAATTTTCTTAAGCAAACGACGAGATGAAAACAATTGTTGATCTTTCCAGCTCTGTAGTCGTAAATGGTTTTATTTCGGTTCAGTATAGCATTGTTCTGTGTAACAAATGATTATACATTTGCTTAAGTACAAAAATAAAGACATGTTTACAACTTTTTCTGTTTTACCTGACAAATTCGGTACAGAATGGACCATTTATGAATGTTTACATTATACCAAATTTTACGGATATATTCGTTTTTCGAAAATATATTAACGATCTCTAACAACGTGTCCTATAAAGTTTATCAAATAAAGGCAACAGTAGTATACCGCTGCTCAATAGTCATAAATCGATTAAGCGAAAACAAATCTGGGTTTCAAACTAATACTGAGGGAAAGACATCAACTATAAGAGGAAAACAACGGAACAACAGAAACACTTAATTGCAACAAAATCAAACGCCAACATACATAGAAACGGACTATTTGATAACAACTGCACTATTCCTGACTTGATACAGGACATTTTAGAAAATGTTTTGGGTTGAACCTGGTTTTTTTTGCTAGCCAAACCTCCCACTTATATGACAATGTTCAAAATACCGCTAAAATGACACCACTACAGGAATACAGTACAAATAAACGCCAGAACTTCCAGGACAGAGAAATACATAAATAAATAATATAATAGTACATTACAACATGTAGACCGCAGAATTACACGGAACACCTCCTATGAATTTACGACAGTACACCAGGACACCACAAACGAAATATAAACTGCGCGAAATATAAAAAAAATGGCGTATTTTTTGTGACGTTTATAATATCACAGGTAAATTTCCAAAAATATGATATGTTTTATTTTTAGACACGTACAAGATTATAAAATTGGGATTGAGTTTGTAATGGTGATATTTTATGTATTTTCTAACCATGACAAGAATATTAAAAATGAAATTGTGTTTGTAATGGTGTTATTATTTGCATTTTCTAACCATGTCGGTTTTTCTACTAAATCAAAACTGTGTACAGTATAATCAAAACCACTTGGTGTACCTTTTTGCATGGCTTGGTTGATATGTAGATGAACACAACTATAACAAACCAAGTATATAAAACACAATCAGACCTGCATATTGTCTCCCTGTCTCCCACCGCCGCTGACTCTGCTAATGCACTGCTGTAGGCGGAGGCGCATGATTTTATTTGTTTAGTAGAACAACCCTCAGCTTCAGTTCCTGAATAATGCATTATCCATTTCAATAGAATAAGGAAACGTTAGAGGTATTATCATCATATAACCAAGAGAAAAACAAATGTTTGTTGCAAATTCTATAACTATTTTATATTTTTCTTTCTTTCTAGAAAACATATGCATACCTTACCAACATTAAAGAGAAACATACGATCAATTTAAGTCATAATAAATACGTTTTTAAAAAAAAGCCATGTACCTAGATGAAAATAAGTTTCTTCCTCTGGAATACATAATTTTTCGAATAGAACAAAATATGAATCACAGGTGAATCCAATGATCATTTTTTATGTAATATTCAAGTTTCATACGAACTGAATTCGCGGCGGAAATATCATGCTTAGATCTTACGAATTTGGATGTTGACGTGCAAAAGGTACATTGGTGCTATGAGTAAACACAAATCACGACTCAGAACTTTGAGTGCTATTGTAGAACAAGGTAAGCAAGTCAGGAATATGACAGTTGTTTTCCATTTGTTTGTATGTGTTTGAGATATTTGTTAAAGGACTTTCCGTTTTGAATTTTTCCTGGAGTTCAGTATTTTTGTTATTTTATTTTTTATTAACTTTAACTACGGTTTTGAATGCTGTAGAATATTAATAAAGGAGTTGTCGGATAAAATGTTAACAAGACAGGTTCCCAACAACACAAATAACCAGATGATAGCTACTCATATTTCTGTTTGTATTATAATATTCATGATAAATCGAGCAGCAATAAAACAGTTACTCGTGACAATATGTATGTATGTATGGTTTACTTTTACAAATTGTGACTTGGATGTAGAGTTGTCTCATTGGCACTCATATCACATCTTCTTATATCTATGTCAACACAATAATGTCATTAGTGCTATTTTTAGTATTATACTTTCTGTGTTTGAATAACTAATCTTAATTAACTAACAATGCAACTAAGCATATTACAGCTTAAAATATTTGAAAGTAAAAGAATTATCATAGGTAATTTTATCGTCAAGACATATATAGTCGTCGTATATTGGCATTGAGAAACCTTCAGTTACTCCATGATGTTTAAGTTCGATCAAAATTCCGCGTAACGAACAAATTTTTAAGGTATTTGAATTAGCAAGTAAATATGCAGACCGAAACTGTTTGATACTTTGAATATTTTATCCTAAAATACACTAAATAATCGTCTCAAGAAAAGACCTCATAGGATGTCAACTTTGATTTCCAAGGTTTCGTGGATGATGTTTGCATAGCAGGAGACGCTGTGGACTTTCCCGGTCTGGCTCCTCTGGTAACTCATGCTCTTTTTTTGGTTACTTTAATTTGTATTTTTTAAACCGATTTATAAGATTTTAACATCGATAAACTGGAGCTGTTACAACTCTTTAAACCGCATTCATCACACAATTTTATACAAGCATTTCACAAATTGTTTGTTTTGTTTTTTAATTAAGCAGTTTTTATTAGAACTATTAAGTTTGAGCATATCTTTACTTAGAAATTGACAATACCAAGAAGCCATATGGTATACAAAGGCGACGAAAACCACACGACCGTCGTGTTCTTCTTGTTTAATGATTAGTCATTACCGGTGGGAAGGAATAATGCAATAGCAGATTGGGAATTATAGAATAAAAAATCCTTGAACTTTCGCCTCGGTATTCACGTGATAGTATTTTCGCCTCGAGTATGGTTTCGAAACCAGGCCAGGTCAAACCAAAGACTATAAAATTAGTATTTGCTGCCTCCCCGATAAACACGGTGCACAAAATTAAAGCTGGTCGGCTCGGAGTCAAAATACTGTGTCCGGAAAAGGTGACATGTCTTTCTGCGGACTGTTACCTTATAACTAAAACGTAAAAAATCCGGCTCAGCTTGTCCGTCTAGTACAAAGCGGGGACCATGTTCATATCACACTAACATGTTTTCGTCCTGAATATGCATTTAATTTTCCAGTGGACGTTAAATAATATTTTTTCAAATATAAATCAAGGGATTTCGTTTTAACCAATATGATAATTGACCATAATCGCACAAACCAAAGACATACACTAAAACATAACACATCTGATAATTGAAATGTTCTAACTGATGAAGTTTGAAATGAACAATTTCAGTTGGCATCAAAATATAAAACATAAAGTATGATAACACAGGTCTAACGAAAACAAAAATATCTTACCTTGCATGATCATGATAACAGACACAAACCACATACTAAGAGTAATGTCAGACAGTTTGTGCATTCTCGTGGTTTTCATTCTGTACAAAAAAATCAAACATTCATACAATGTAATATAAATAACGTAAAAGCAACATCGAAAACGCATGCAGTCAAATTATGTCTTATAATATCATTAACTATCATGATACATATAATATTAATGACAATGAATTAATTAATTACATAAACGCTTTAAATAGTTTTAAAAGATTTGAATAAGAAATGAAGCAAACGCTATTTTTTGAAGAAAAAAGAACCGTGCTATTAATCAAAAGGAAACGATGTTTTAAAAACCAAATAGCCTAGGCTATTCAGTTCTACCAGTGAATATTATAAAAATTTTGTGTCAAGGTATTTCATGATTATGAGAACAATTTATGAAGTAAAAAATTTGGGGGTCACCGCCTTCGTTTTGTCACTATAGTGACCTCAGTTTCTTGTTTTTCCCATTATGAACATTATATGGTTGTTTTTCGAAACGTCAAATCATCCATTAATATCGAACGTACAACCGTAATTCTTTTTCACACTTTACAGAGTCGGTTTTAACCAATCATTTTAAGATTTTAGAGTTTATGTTACTATATTGGTGTTTTAATCTATAAAAAGTATGATGTATTTCATTCCACCCAAAAAAAAACAAACTGTTTGTACGTAAGATTTAAAAATGTTTTTCAGAATTAAAAAAATATCTACCAATGATTGCTTTGTGTATTCTTTCGAATACTTCCCAACAAAGTATGTGTCACCGATCTTTCAAAAAAGTTATGAGTGATTTTCATGTTTTTTCTCTCATTTATTTTCAGAAAAAGAAAGTTGTCTTTCTTCAGAACACTGAATCTGACGTCATAGTAAAGTTTTCTGCAATTCTCTAAAATATCTTAAATTGGACGTTTGGTACCCACATTTAAATTTTCAATAATTTAGCAATACACCTAGTTTATTATCCGTTATATATCAGTATTTGTCAGATCTCATTCTGGTAGCACTCCATAGAGGATTTTTCAAATATGAAAACTTGTGTGCAATACATTTTTGTAGAATTATTTTTGGATAGCCAAAGATTAATATAGCCTTCAAAATGGGTTTATATGAACATTAATACTGTGTAATGTATTATTGTCTGTTTTCTGTATGACAGTGCGTATTCAATTGCGTATTTTGTGATTCAATTTTACGAAAACATGAGGCGAAAGATTCAATTTTTTTTGATTATTTGATAGATTAATGCCAATAGTTTCAGAAAACTTAAAGGTATCACTCAAAGGAATAGAAATTTTTGTTTGAACCAAATTTTAGGGCAATATGTGACATGTTTATGCACCTTTTTGCAATATTTTATGGTAAACCAATGCAGAATAATGTCATTGATATACAGAAAATGAATTATATTTCAGCATTTTAACTGCTGAAAATCAAATATGAACGATAATGATTACATACATATGGACATGTATGACACAAACATTAATAGAAGATTTTAAAACATGTTGTGGGTCAATTTTAATGTATTTCCTAACTAGGGAGTGCTACCTTTGTTGCAGCACAAAATCGGCCGGCTTTAGAAACACCGTCCTTTTGGAGTGTAAAATTGTTCGAAATCACCTTCTACTACGCTTTAAAAAAAATAGTTTGTTTATTCCCCCTTCCTCTCTCTGACAAAATGATTGAAAATTAAAAAAAAATAAAATTGAGAGATGACACTGACTAACCAATAGAATATAAGACTATATTAGATCATATATATCAAGAAGTTTGTTTTGCATGCACATGTATAAAAATTGCGGCTTTTATCCAACGCAATCATAGGTTTGAACGTTGTTTTCAATTTAATCTTGTTTAGATCATATATATATATATATATATACATATGTTTTTGGTTCTAACTTGAAGAAGTTTGCCCAGCCAACTTTACACGCAGTCTAACCCTTCGCCATTGAAGTGTTGACGGACCATTACGATATATATATATATATATATATTTATATACCTATATTGCGGTTTTTATCCAACGCAATCATAGATTTAAACGTTGTTTTCAATTTAGTCTTGTTTATATTTTTTCGTTTGGGCTTGTATTATATTTGCCTTCGGGTTTATATGATCCGTTCATCATATTTTGACTCCTCAAAATTCAAGAGTCTATCCTAAATTGAGGTAAATTGTATGGCTTTCCAAATACCGTTTCGATTCCTAACATCACTGAAGAGACATTAATTGTCGAAATCCGGATATGGTGTACAAAAACCTTTGCACCTTTTGTTTGCGGTATATCATCTTTTCCTCAAGTTTATTGTTTTCTGTTTAGTATTAAATTTATATTTAAGTAGATATAAGAAGATGTGGTATGAGTGCCAATGAGACAACTCTCCATCCAAGTCAAAATTTATAAAAGTAAACCATTATAGGTCACAGTACGGTCTTCAACACGGAGCCTTGGCTCTCACCGAACAGTAAGCTATAAAGGGCCCCCAAAATTACTAGTGTAAAACCATTCAAACGGGAAAACCAACAGTCTAATCTATATAAAAAACGAGAAACGAGAAACACTTATGAACCACATCAACAAACGACAACTACTGAACATCAGATTCCTGACTTAGGATAAGATCCATTTATTACATCGGTGATCCGTTTATTTGGCAATCGCCAATGGCAGTCAGCAGGGTTTAAGAACATTTGGTGTTCGACCTGTTAGTTAAATGCGTTTTGTTAAAATATACTTTTTCACTTTTTTGGTCTTTTGGAAAATGTTGTTTATGCTGTATTTAGACCCCTTTAACTATTATTAACGTTCCGACTAAGATGGGCGTATAAAAACTATTGTATCTTATTTGTGGATTCATTATTACTGAATATTTAAAATCTAGGAAATTGAAATGATACGTAGAATTATGTATTAGAACCATTTTTATCGGCCTCAACGTTTAAAAGCTCAATTGAGAAAATCACAACAGTTCAAATTATAAGCTTAAGTCAATTGAAATTTACCCATGTGCACACGTAAACTATTAAAACATTTGTAGTTGAACGTTTAATGTCAAGGTTACAGGTAAGGCAGTGTCGTATGTGTTAATGTTTGTTAAATTTTAACTAGCTATTTGCGGCGCTCAATCCCAGTTTTCTTGACAATACTTTTTTATGCGTACATCATATTTAAATCCGCGAATAAGCGAAATAGAACGTTCTAATCTGCCGCTTTTTGCCGAATCACAATCACGTTGCGTTATCTAATGCGCAGAAACATTAGGCTGTTTGGTCTTTGAAATGTGAAGTCGCTTTGTGTTCTTAGTGGAAGCATTTAAAAAACATAAACAGACTCACTTGAAAAATCACAGTTAAAAAAAAGAAACATTCAACACAAAGAAGCTTTTTTAAAATGATTAAATAGAATGCTAGCAAGACATATTTTCGTTGATTAATTTTATCATATACAGCGTATACGAAAAAAGAAGATATTTTAAAAATAATCATGAATAACATAGCTGCAAAATTTCTAATATATCAAAACGTATTACCTATGTGGTATAAAATGATGATATCGTTAAAAAGGGAAGTTTTAAGTGAACTACAATCCTTCTTAATCTTTATATAGTTTCCACTTCGTTAATTCGCTAGTTACTTGTGGCCAATCAAGTTTCAGTTTTTTCTGTTATTCTGTATTCGGTTACAAGAGGAAGATGTTTGGTGGGTTTATCAATTTAAAATATCAGGTACACACAAGAGAGAGAGAAGAAACATGTACCAAGGACTAAAAATACAAAATACTTTATTTTATTTAACATTTTTTAAGTTAATATAAATTGAATGGCTAATTACATAACGACAATAGAAACATCGTTAAATTGTACATGATTAAGACCTGTGACTGGAAATGTGATAAATAAGCTCAAAAACATCGCTGATGTATTATTGACTTGCAAGTCAATAATTCAACCTCATTGAATCCGTATGTATGTTACCTTCTATTTAACTCTTAGCCAGAGATGGTTTACGCATGTACTAGGCGTGTACAGCTAATAAATGGAAACGAATGTCAACATTCAAAGTGTGCATGATTTTTTATTAATAATTGTTCTTGGCTATTAACTAGCTTTCAGTAACTGCGAGTACTCTCAAATCGTACTTTCGTGTCGATTTGACCTGTTGACACAATTTGCAATGCATTTTTGTTATTCAATGTTTGCTTGTTTTGTGTTATATCTCGTCTCACAATTTTTTTTATATGTACCACCTTTGATAAGTGTTTAGTATTACGATAAATTTTCACCTCTGTTCTCGTACTATGAAACAACAAATTTTTGTAAAAAATATTTCCGTACTCCTAACAACAAAATTATTTTATTTAAGGGCATACGATACAGTTTTGATCCCACGGTGATTTTATTACGAAAATTTGCATACAAGCTCTTTTTCACTTATTCAATTCAAATATGTATTGAAAAAATATACCTTCATGTGCTTAATTTAGAGATAAATGGGATCGAAATTTTAGACATTTACTTACAATTTCTTTTTCTTGGACATTTCTATCCTTTGGACAGACATACTTAACTTTTTTGTTTCAAAAGATAAACACATGCGGATTTTTGTAAAAAGATTATGAATATCTTCTTTACTGATGAATCCTCTTAATTTGTGTAACAATTCTTTATACATAATTATTTTTCATTAAATTTTCATAATTTTAGAAAAAACGGCATTTTTTGCTCCATATTTATCTAATTTAAAAAAAATTCATCGGTGATTTTTTCATCAAAATTGGAACAAATAATTTTTATTCATTATCAAGTCAAATGTCATTTTAAAAAAGAGGGGTCCATGTACTCGTCTCCAAGCAAATGATTAAAACCACTCGAAAAATGCATCTTTTCCCGATATGTCGCAGTTTGACGTCGCGAAAAATAACATTTTACGTTAGCAACGTCATTACCTCCCCTGTAACTATATTATATGCCCTTAAAGTTACCTGTGTACGTTATTTTATTTAACGCCATTTTGTCCCAGGTTATAGTTGTCTTTTTGACATTGTTTTATATATTGTATTTATATTGTGTCATAGATCAAGTTATGCCATTTCAATTGATATTTTATAGTGTGTCTTTCTATGTTGTAAGGTTATACTACTGTTCTTCATCTTGTATCTATTCAAATTGAAACAAGAATGAACCATTTCGTTGACTGGTTCGATCCACAAAAATCATTCTTGTACAGGTAAAAAAAAATGATAAACATATTTTAACCTATAACATGAAGTCAAACAGAACTAGAACAATCTAATTGCACGTGCTCGTTATCTTTTTACATTTATGTTTATATTGGGTTATATGAGCGTCGACAGTCTTCGGAGGTCATATCGATGGATTATTAGATGGTGTCTATATTAAAATACACACGAAGTGCTGGTAATCGAGTCCATGCATGGTTAATTGTTTATTTCAGACTTTTGGTAATTTTGAAATACGTTTTAGCATGTCATAAATCGAATATTAGAATTTGAGTCAAATCGGTGAACATGAATTTTACAGCTAATGCCCCTTAAATAAAACGTTTTATTATTTTCTAGCATTAAAAATTAAAAACAAAACAACAGAAACACACAAACAAACAAACAAACAAGCAAAAACAACAAAAAATATTCAAAGTCCAGTATGTGTTTTTGTGATATGTTTTTATGCAGTATCAATCCGATGAATTAATCCCTTTTCAACTAATTTATATAGTTTGTTTTTATATTGTACTATTACACCACTGTCCAAGGCTAGGATTGGCGCTTTCAAACATGTTTAACTCCAAAACATTCTGTATGTGCCTGTCCAAAGTCACGAACCTGTAGATTAGTGGTTGCCGTTTATTTATGTCTGTCATATGTGTATTTGTAAATTGTCTTTTGTTATTTAAATTGAATTGTTTCATATTTTTCATGTCGGAGCAGACTATACGATATGGGTTTTCTCATTGTTGAAAGCCGTATGATTGTCTATAATTGCTTGCATCCACTTCATTTGAACTTTGGTGGATATATAGTTGTCTCATTTGCAATCATACCACAATGGCATCTCCTCATTTTTATATATGGTGAATGGGCGTTCACGAATGAATGAAATCAACAAAAGCGTTAAACCATAAATCTATTTATTTTGCGCCATTTTCATCAAATGCAAAGAACAGATACAACTTGTCATTATCCCATATTCTATCTACATGAAGCAATCGATGTTTCTGGTTTTGACTTAATGTAAAAGCATGTTTGCCTTGACCCAAGATCTGTTGCCACCCGGAATTTCTTCAGGGTTTTTATCAGATGAGTACAAATAATCAGGCTGTGACAATATGGTTTAAAAATAATAGAAAGTAAAAAAGTTTTAGAGTTATGTTTCACAACAGGTGCTGTCCAATTTTCTCTTCTATGCATTATAAACACGTCATGTCAGTGTGTTGTATGAATAAGAAAAATTTTAGATTTCCTCTCTAAATGATTTTTCAGACTTTGATCACACACTTGAAAGACGCTATTGATACTAATACAGATCGTATGAACATGACCTTCGTTTCCTTTTTGTTTGACAGATTTGTATGGGGGAATAACCGAAGACGTATAGATTTCTTTCCTACTTCGCAAAAATATTCAGTTTAGTATGGCTTGTTCTATTTATACAGGAAAAAGGTATTATTATTTTTTTCAAAGAGAATATTAAATGAGTTTAATAGGACAATTTTTGATATGTTAATGCCGTGTTAGGAAAACCTGTGTTTAACGCGTAGTAATGTTATAACCACATATTTATTCAGACTTTAGATCATGGCATATTTGATATATTCATATATGAAACCCCACATTCGTTAATACTGATTTTTACACAATTAAACGAATATAACAAAAAGCTGTCTCTTGCTCTAGTCGCTGCATCAAACTTTTCACAACATAGCATAAATACACGTTTTTTTTTCTTTTCAAAATTGTTTGGAGTGCATCCACCTAACAAATAATAAATTATAAAGTTCAAAGTCCTTGTCTGAACATGTAGTATCATTTTGCACAATTCAAGGTAAACTGAATATCAGTGTTCCCAAATTCCAACAGTTCGTATAGTATCCGTATATCAAAATTGATTATACAAGTTAATCAAACAGCTCAGTTGAGATTCTGAGTTCGCCTCAAATTCTATACGCCTACACGCGCGTCTTTAGTTGAAAATCTTCAGATGATTCTGCCGTCATCTGCATACAATATGACAAATACCTTCAGCATCTTTTAAGAGGTAACTGTATTGTATTTGAAGCAGGGCCTACGTAAAATTTGGGTTTACTGTTGTTAATATCCGTTTCCAAGCTCCGCTACGCGTCGCTAGCTAAACTCAATTTGCAACAGTAAAACCCACGTTTTACGTAGGTCAAGCTTCAAATACAATACACCTATCTCCTATTAAATACACTAGAAAAAAAACCGCGCGAGCCCGGCTTGAAGACTACTTGAAATGTTTATGGTGAGACACAGCTTGGGTTCGTGTTTCTCAAGCTGTTTTTATGCACTGATGCATTATGTTGATAGTTTTTATTAGTTTGTCAGTTCTTCTTCCACAGGTGTTTGAATGTCCAATTAGTAGCTTCTGTCTCGGTGTTACAAAGGTGCTCCTAGAACGGAGGAAATAACTCAGAGAAGAAGACAACCTAGAACACTGATGATTAAAACATTTCTCAGTGGTGCTAGTTTGTAATATTTCTTTTTTTTTTACTGTCGAAAGGTGCGAGTCAAGTTCTGTCTCTGTGTGATACGGGTGCTCCAAGAACGGAGGAAATAATTCAGAGAAGAAAGAAGACAATCTAGAACTCTCTAATGATTTAAAACATTTCTTCAGTGGTGCGAGTTTGTAGTATTTTTTTTTCGAGTGGTGCGAGTTCTGTCTCTATGTGACACGGGTGCGTCCCGAGAAAGGAGGAATTTACTAAGAGAAGAAGAAAACAATCTGATGATAAAACACATTTCTTCGAGTTTGTTATATTTCTTTTTTTTTTTGAGTGGTGCGAGTTTGATAAAGTGATGCAAGTTGTAATAATTATAGAGAGTGTTTGAGTGATGCGAATTGGCCGTGGGCCGAGTTGTCGGGCAGTACGTCGACTGAGCATGCGCGAAAGCGTATAAGACACGGATCGATAACGGTCTCCGAATTTAGATATTTTCTCAAAAATTTGCGTTTTCTGTGGAAAAAAGATTGTTTCAAAGACACATTTAGGAAGTACAAAACACTACATTTATACGTCATATCACAAATATTTCCGACTTTGCATGGTTTCAGAGGAGTTGCGGCTCAATGAAATCGGTCTCTTCCTTTAGTAGTATAGATGTTGAAAATGACTTCACACATTTTCCCTTTAATATGACTTAAGAACATTTTATAAATAGCCTCACAATGTACAATATTACACACATTGTCATTATCGATATAGAATATTTGGTTTGTACCTTAGATAAATGATGGGATACTAAAGCATAAAGAATAGAGACAAAATACCTAATGATAAATTAGAGAATACAGAAATGAAGGACCCCCATCCAGAATCTCATATGACAAAAAGGAGATCAACTTAGAACTAGCGCACTCCGTACAG